GCAAGCAGTTGTGCTGGTACAGGATGAAGAAAGGGAAATGGTGACTGGCAAAAGGAGAGAAGTTGCTTTTGTAATGGCAGCATTGGGTTGTGGTGGTTTCAAACTGGCCCATGACAAGTAGGTTATGTAGAGGGTAACACCCTGCAGTGTCATCAGGAGACAAGTTTGATTCCTTGTTCTGTCTTTCTCTGGGTCTTCCTTGAACAAAGTGAGTTGCCTAATGCGGGGGGCAAAAAGAAATACCATGCTTTGCCTAAGGGAATTCTGCTGCCGGCTTGGAAAGTCTGCTGAGACTCTTGGCAAGAAACTGCTTTTCTCTTGATGGTGAGGAAGAGCTGACATATGAAAACCAGTGCTTCCTCAGTGGAAGAGCAAAGGAAATAAGGAAAACAAAAATTCATAAGTACATAATAGGAAAACAGTAGGACTAAAAGAGAGGATTTTACAAGAAATTCCTAAGCAGGCAGATGGCAGAGACCCTGTAGGGTGAATGTTCCCAAAGACAGGTGACTTTGGACCTGTGGTAATGGGAGAAAAGAGAGCTTGACCTGCAGCTACTGATACAGAGAAAAAAAGAATGTGCAAGTGTCTCTGCTGTTACTGTTGTTGCAACTTCTACTAGCTGGGTACCATCTTCTCTAGCTGGGAATGAAGCAGGTCTCTGTTCCCTTGGGAATACAGAGGTTATTCATTTTTTTTCCCCAGAAGGGAGAGTGCTGCTTGGAACACCAGCTGTAAGTGGTGTGGTGTATTTTGCATGGTTACTCTGGGATGCATGGAAGTGGTGGTGTGTCACAGTGGCTGGGCATCCCTGGAATTGTTCTGTAGGTAAAGGTCCATGGAGCAGTCTGTGCCAGGCTGGAGAGCTCACTGCTTGGATTGTTGTCTGGACAATACTTTCACTGTATAGCTGTAGGGCTGACACACAGAATATGTTACAGAACAGTGCTTGCTGTGTCTCTGTCTTGGCATGCCTTAGCAGGCTCTGTGTTGTAAGCACTTGCTCATGAAGCTGCCAGAAATAGATGCCTGATGGCAGAGAATTAGCTAAAATTGAGCTCAGCCATGTAAAAATGCAGGTTCAGAGTGAGATTTTGAGTTGTAGAGAAAGCATTTGGGAAGTCACCTCTCACTAGCTGGCTGAGCAAAGGAGCTTGCAGAGGAAAGTGAGCCATCAGTGTGTTTGCTTTTGTGAAATACATGGGTCTAATAATTAGTTTTAGTTATTTGTTACTTGACTGAGTGATAATCTGTCTGATAGTTTGGAAGTAAGTTACTTAATCAGACTTTCCCAGAAGGATGTTGAATTTCAGGTGTTGTAGCATAAGAATCCTTAAAAAGGTATTTCCCTGGGAAACCACTTGTCTTTTGTATTTTGAGCAGTGTTCTGCATATATACCAGAGTATGAAAAGGGGTTGGTGGGTAGCTGTTCTTGTAACATAGCACGCAGGTGAACTGCTCTGGAGTAAGTCCTTCACGAGACAGCAGTCTTTAGCATGGCTGTATCCAGCATTAACTTTCAGAATGAGAGGGAGGAATAATGATCTTCATGGATTGTCATGTAGTAAGTACTGAGAATTGCTTCTACAATCAGTTTTTAAGTCAGAGGGTAACAATGCATGGGTTTGTTACAGGTATTTTCTGTACATTTTCCGCTACTTGTTCTGAGATGAAACGCTTAATTTTCCACAAGTACCTTGTAGAAGGAAGATGGTTTCATTTCATCCGTGCAGTGGAAGGCTGGTTAAATGTGACTGTACAAAGTCTACTCCAGCTTCTGAAAAATGGCATTAGTGTAGGTTTTTGGTTTGGTTCTGGCTGATCCCGTTGGAAAGTAGCACCGATGCTGTGCTTGGCTGTGGGAGTATGTGAACTCGCATACTTGAAATGTAGGAGAACCCAGTTAGATGCAGATGGACTCTGTTGAACTTGTAGAAGGTCATTTAAATTTCAGTTAAAAATACAAATGGGTTTGCAGATCACTGGCATTTTGAATAACATTCAAACCTTTGAGGCAGCCTTACTTCTCGATTCTTTCATGTGATGCTGTCATCTGCTTATTATCTCTAGTCTAGATTAATGCATTAGAAAGTGTCTATTTGGGGTCCAGGGTTCTTAATGAACTTTCCAGTGATTAGGATTTTAAGAAGCAGATCTGTTTTCAGGTTTTGGGCTGTACCTTATAGAATGTTAAAAGATGCAGGGGTTTACTACGATGAGATTCCCTTCAGCACTGTGAAATTATTCCTGAGATTTGCTTGTGGGCTACTTGTGTTGGAAACTTTGACTGGAATCTGGACCTGCCTGAGCTGCTTGCTTGATTCCTGCTGTGCAATTACTCTCAGGCTTGTCATGCTGTGTCTGGTTTGTGTTGCTCTTTTTCCAGCTGCCTCAGGAAGAAGGAAAGTGTGACTGTATCTTCCTGGTCCCTGTATGAAGGAACATGAATTTTTTCTGATACCAGCATTGAGTTTTTAGGATGCCTTGCTATAAGATCTCTGTGTGGAGGGGTCAGGAAGCATCACTGGTCTGAGTTTATAATTGCACTATTTCACTGTTCTTGTGTATGATGGAAGGACTTTAATTCACGTTTCCCCCTTGCACAGAATCAGCAGATAGCTGTCTTCATCATCACTGCAGTCTATCAGTAGGGTTATGGTATATGAGATCATTGTTTAGAATGAGTTTACATGTATTCAATTTCTTTCATTGTACCAAAGGGCCCTCAGTTTTTAATAGACAGCTTACTGGATGATGCTCAGGGCTGATCCGTGATCCATGTATCATCCTTATTTTATCTGTTTCATGAATCTTTCTAACATTTACAGCCTTGTTTTAACTAATGTTTAGTAATTATGATAAAATGGCATTTTAATTATCATAGCTTCCAAAGTTGCTGCTGAATGATGAATTATATAGAAAACATTGTTCATCTCAAAAGTATTTGCCAATTTATGATAATAGAATTTTATGAACATCAGTTAATAAAATTTAGTGCATAACCCTACATGTGTCTAATCCCAGTTGAAATTCCATTTAATCATTTTGCTTTTCTTATAAATTTGGAGTTCCTGAATGTCCTTTTAGTAGACGAATTCCACTAGTGATTCTCAAGTCCACACAGCATACAAACTTTCCCTTTCCCTTTGCTCAAGGTTGGGGAAGGAATGCTTCTCTCTGAAGGTAGTAACATGACATAAAACTAGGATGCTCATCCTTAAGCTGTTTCATCTAGGTGTGTGCCTAGCTGTAATCATTGGCTAAAAATAACATGCTATGAACTATACTGTCTATAATCAACATTTATATACACTGGTGTAGTTACATATTGCATGTATTTGCATTTCAGTATATTGATCTTCATGAATGCTTTTAAGATCTCTGTTCCCCAGCCTGGAAGCTAAAGGTCCAACATGGCTGAACCCCAAAACTTAAGATTATGTGTTGGCCAGCTTCTTGAGCAAATAAGACATCTGCATTTTACTTTCAGCATGGGGTTAGGTTGAAGTTATTTATGTGATTAACCAAAGTAGTTTCTCATTTCTTAAAAAGCCTGTTCCACAAGTCTGTAATTTCATCTAAAAGAGGCAGTCTGGTTTTCAGGGGTCTTTAATATTGAATTTCTGTAGTAGAAGGTTCACGTTTGTGTTTGTATATTAAAATAGTTTAAAGTGTGTGTCTTGTGGTTTGGTAGTTTTCTCTAGATTGCTTTTGAATTGGGAGTGGGATGAGTGATTCTGTAACTGTCTTGTATCTTTAGTTTTTATTTGCCTAGTGATATTTAATTTGGAACACTCATGTAGTTCAATTATCTCTGTTCCGGATCCATAGTCTTGCTGAAATGAGTCTTTTTGTTTGGTTTCCAGAAATACCTTGTTCTCATCTTTGCAGGATAAGACTCATGCAATTACCATTGGGCATTATTCTCTTCCCTTTTCGTTACTTTAGTACAAGTTGTGGAAGAACTGTTGGGAGTTGTAGTGTGACCCCCAAAGCCTCTCTATGTCTGTCATATCCCTGCCAGCATGGTGGCCCCCTGCTTGGCTTACTCCAGTGTGCCAGTGGTTTTCTCTGTTGGGCCCCCCGAAACTGCAGGCAGCACTTGAAATACAGCTTCACAAGTGCCAAGCAGAGGGATCATGTCTTTTGGGTTGTGAGCTCTTGTTGCCACGTTGGTCCATTGCTCAAGGTCCCCATTTCAGTATTTTCTGTCCTCTAGGACATCAGCCCCACTCTCCCCAGCTGGCTGTCAGATGGGGACCTGTTGAGGTTGCCTTCTGTTCCTGTGTGTGCATGAAAAGAAGTTTCAGTGTCAGCTACAGAGTAGGGTTTGGTCTGTCAAGGTTAGGGGAAAAATCAGCAAATACTAAGATTTGTATTTCTGTGCTTTGAGCATGTAGGTATGTTCTATTAGGAAACTGATGTAAATCTGGCTTGCAGGCTTCTGCTGAAATTTCTGTCGAGAATCCTGTATCAAGTGGTCTGCAAGATGTAATGGGGAAGTCGTGTTTGGTTCCATAAATGCATATTGCAGGGTGTTGTGAAGTTTTGGGTTTTTTGCTGGTTTTGTTGGGGTTTTTTTGTGAGCCAAATGAACCTTGACTGCCACACTGCAGCTTAGCTGTATCGGTTAAGACATAAGAAGTCTTACAGAAACCAGGTTAGTGTCGTTTACGTGCCAGGTTGCCTTAGCTGCAATTGAAGAAATTTTAACTTGTTTGAGAAGAAAAAAATCTGTCGTGGTGGCTTCAGAATAAATCACCACGAGGCTTTTAAATTGTTCTTGGGTTGTTGCACAGATTTTGCAAGCTGTGGTCTTGAATATAAAATGTTAATTTACAAGCAAAAGGTTTTACGTTCCTAGATGATACCGGAGCCTTAGAGAGAGCTGCCGTAAAGATTTGTCATCGATCCTCTATTTGTATTATAGTAAGAAAAAGAATTGTAAATGGTACTGGAGAAATGGACACTTGTGACACCTTCTTTTTCCTAATTCCAGGGCATATTCCCTTGTGGATTCCAGTCAAGTGTCTACCTTCCTGATTTCCATTCTCCTCATAGTCTACGGCAGTTTCAGGTAAGATTTTTCTCTAAGGTTCTCCAGAATGTCTCATTTTCTAATAAAAACATGGCAAGTGACTGAATAGAGTCCATGCCTTTTGTTTCATTGTGTTGTTGTCAGACTGATGGTGAATGAACTATTCCTTGCTTCTGAAAAGGAAATGGAAAAGGAATAAGAAAATACCTCATTGAGATTTCTGAAAGACAAAATTGTGTGTCAAGTTACAAGCATGTATAAGATAACTTAGGAGTTAGTCCTTGAGGACAGCTTTGTAAAATTGGATTTTGGAGGGTTTGAAAGGATTTTCAAGAGACAGGGATGCGGTGTCATTGATACATGTAATATTTCAGTGTTGGTTGATTCAGCATGTCCTTATGATCGCAAGCAAGTCTTGTAAAACAAGATTCCCAAGTCCCAGTGCTATTTACTTGAGTGTGAGTAACAGCTTAATACAGAAGTGGGAAACACCACCAGCGTTGTATTCCAGTAAAGTGTCTGAGAACTGCTGCAGAATAAAGTTGAATATTCAAAAATGAAATTAGCCCCATTTTAGGAGACTCGACTATAGAGAAAGCACACTTGTCCCTTTAGACTTGCATTTTGTGTTGGAGCTTGTTTTAATGTAGTGGCCCCTATGGAATGAAGTCTGTACTGATGTATTAAAACAACGATTAATCACAGCATGAAAGCATTATTTTTCTCAGGCTTAAATACGGCATGTTTTTCTTTCGTTTCTTGAAGAGCATTGCTTCATTTAACAAGTCTATGATAAAAGGCCATACACTCACTGTGAAGTCTCTGAACTGCTATGAGTATTCCTGAAATAGAATATAGCCATGGTCATACATATGATGTAAGCTGCAGCTGTTAGGATGAGAGGTTTTAAATTGCCATCATAAGCAAATAAGATCATATAATGAAAGAGCCAATTTTTGGTAAGAGCTATCTTAACAAGTATTAGGTAACAGCACTGGTGATGGAAATAAAACAGGAAAACAAAATCTAGAGATGATGAAAATAAAAAGGAAATAAAAGAATGTATTTGGTATTTTTCATCAAGTTTTGGGTCAGTTGAGGGACTAATTCAATTTGCAACTATTTGAGTTTATGCATTTGTGTAAAAAGAACATAGCAAGAAGCCATAGCATTTATGAAAATTCAGTTGTGAAAACATAATGCAGCAGGAGTGCTTGAGCTTAAACTGCCTGCTCTTCTCAGAGCTCCTTGCTCTTAAAAATCTCTCCCTGCTATTTGCCATCCTATTCCTATATACACATGCTCTTTTACCATCTTGTGCGATGCTTTACATTTAAAATTGCCCATGCAACAAGGACTGCAGACTTCAGCGCAGTCCAGCTCACTGGATGAAGTAGTAGAATGGTGATGGATACAAACTAGTGGACGAAATGTCCTGTTGTAGTCCACTTCCTTTGCACATGTCCTCAAGACCCCAAGATACAAACTCTTACAGACCAAGAGAGGGACCCTTAGTTCTATGTTTAATTTCCTATAAGTAGTTTCCTTAGCAGATGTCTGAGATGGAACTTGCAGTTATGACGGTGGCTTGGACAAATTCCTGTTCTGTTTGATGAGCAAGTGAGGACAAAAGCAGGTTTTTTACAGAAAATTGTACAGTGGTGGTAGGAAACCAGGTAGTAAATGGCAAATGGTAGTAAATGGCAAAATTTTATTTGTCTTGTAAATTCCTAAAGTAGTAAAATAAAAACTTCCGGCAAAGTGGGTGGATTTTCTTAATTTTCTTAGAAAAGTGACTTGCCAGAAAGAGGAATATTATGGCTCAGGGTGCTCATTCTCAAATGACAGCAATGGTGCCCTCGTCTAGATTTGAGTGTTTCATCTTAAATGGAGCTGTCATAAGACAAAAATACAACAGCACTTCTTAGTTAACTGTCCTGTTGCAGAAAGTGGGCTTGGTTTCTGATTTTCAGTCTGAAAAGCAGCAAATAGAGTTGTTGTGGTATTGCTATGGCAAGTGACTTAAACTCAAGTGCAGTAATAGGATCAGAAAGAATTGGGTGGGTGAGTCATTAGGATAAAATCCATGTGTGTGGTGGATCTAATCTATTGCAAGATGTTTCAGGGGAACAGAGGAAATGCTGTCCACTGTCTTTGTGCATACAAGCAGCATTTGTCCAAAACCAAAATACACCAAAAAACCCCCAAACCCTCAAGATATTTGGAAGAATGCCTTATAGATCATGGGGAAAGTCCACATCCAGAATGCAGAATAGTTTAAATGAGTTCCTGCTTCTCTTGCTGTCAATGAGTGAACATTTACTTCCTACATTTCCACTGGGTCAGGAGTTTTAGCTTCAAACCCTTCTGAACGTTTCTCAGTCCTTGATGTATTTTATTATTGACTGCCAAAGGAGCAAGTATAATCCTTTAAACCATTACAAGCTGTAAACTGGAGCATGCAAGTATATGTGTTAGTTCAGGGGTTTTAAAGAGGTGAGCTTAGCTTGAAACAGGTTGTTTCCTATGGGTTCTTGCAGACAGTCACCTATCCTCATCCAAGTGCTTCTCTGTCATTTAAATGTTGGGGTTACTTTGCAGACAGGTAACAGCTAAATCTTCTTCTATCCTGTCACATACCCAGACATGGTCTCTCAGCTTATGCAAAGCCAGATTTAACCCAGAATCGACCTGTTCAAGTATCTGCTTTTAAACCAAACCAAGCAGCATGGGACGAAACTGGTGTCTTCTATCTCTAGGCTCTGGGTACCTAAAGTACGTGCGTAAATAGGAAGTAGTTCAAAAGGTGTCCTTATGGTTGCCTTTATGGCTTGATGTTTATGGAAATCGGGATACATATTTCACAATTAAAAAAAGAAAGGCTGTGCTTGGAGTTCGTAACCATCTATAGCCACAGTGCTGGCAGGGTGAGCCAGGGTTTGGATAGTCCCTTCTCACCAGATGGTACAACAGCGGTGGTCTATAGGTGCACACACAGTGGGTGCACATAAAATACCTGTGGAAGGTGAGATATTCTTACCAGAGGCATGGGACTTAGGCACTCTTACTCCATACAAGCAGTGAAGCCATTTCTACGTGCACTTCCTGCTATTGTTTCCCTTGTTCTTATTCCCACTCCAGATCTGGTATTGGAACTTGTCCTTTAATAGTTTTACAAATGACTGTAGCCATGTTAGAGCACACAACACATTTCAGGCTCGCTCTCTGTAATATGCATTGAGAGTTGGTTGAATTAACTTGTCTCGGGTCAGTAACTGATTCTGATTGTAGCTTTTGATTTAGAGCAATCAAAGTCTGGCAGTTCTGTGGCAACCCACAATTCTCATAGTCCCAGAGCTGTTCAGTGCCTGTCCTCCCAGAGTAGATTAAAAAGTAACTTCTCAGTATATTGCATCTGCAAGCACCCCTAAAGATACATTCTTGCTTTCATATTTCCTCCGTTGTTTCATAAGAATATTCCCTTGCAGGGTTTCCCTGAAGCATTACTGCAGTGGTGGTGATCCATAGCTGAATCTGAACTTTCATGGTAGTAATGTGCCAGCAGCTTACTCATTCCTTTGGCCTTAGTATAACCCTACTGAGTGGTTCCCTGTGGGAGGCTGAGCCCTGCTTGCTTTGAAACATTGTGCTAGAAATCCTACCAACTTGAGCTGTGAAGGCCCACAGGAGAAGCAACCCTGTAGTTTATTGCCTGATGGGAGGTGCTGGCTGAATGCTGCCTTTGGAAGGCCAGCAGAAACTGGAACAAAACAGCAAGTGTTTCTCAGCTTGCAATTTCTTTACAGCCCAGTAGTTTTGAGTGGATCTTGCTCTACAGTTTCTTTCATTTTTAACTTTCTTGGAGGATGTTTTCTTGGAACATGGTTTAGTGATCACTTTAGTGATAATTTGTAGCAGAGGGAAGAGCCACATCAAAAGCCACTTGGAAATTATTCTTTGATCAGCAGCTGTGTTGCTAAGTGAAAATAATAACCTAATTTATGCCTACTTTTGAGGTAGGGATGTTTAGAGGTAATAATTGCTGACACTTGCAGTGAAAGCAGAGGGGCTGAAGCTGTTCACAAGCCATAGATCTAATAGTTTATTTCCAGTTTTCTTTGCTGATAGCACTCCCTTAAATGACGAGTTGCACAGTGCCATGGGGAGACCGATGGTGTGAAGTTCTTGCTAAACTGCAGTAACTCAGAGAGGAGTCAAATGCTGCACTGAGAAAAGAATTGTCATGTTTGTCTGAATCCTGGATCAAGTCCTGGGGGGTTGTCAGCCTCCCCCCTGATTTTTATATTGAGAGGAAAGTTATGAGGCTACAGTGCATTAACAGGGAAAAAGGAAATATGAATGAAGGATAAAGGCATCCCAAGCAAAATGCAGAGCAGAGAGATCTTGAGAACAAGCTAAGAGAACAAGTTAATTTGATAGAATTTTAGTGGTTTCCATTTCCTCTTTGTATTTTTCACAACTTTTTAGCTGACAATCCATAATCTGTGTACTGTGTGTCTGAGGTTGAAGCTTCCTCATATTTTGCCTGAGCCAACAAGCTGCTTTAATTTCATACCACTTGCATAACAGAAATGGAAGAAACAAACCAGGTTTACATTGGAAGAGCCTTTTTCTCATTTTTCTTTTATATAGTAAAACTGCTGAACCCCTCTTTCTTTAGTACCCCACACTGGTCTTGCTGCTATGGACCTGTGGGTGCTTGATTTCAGCTTGTATGACTGCAGGACAGAATTGCTCACCTGTGCATTGCATAGTTAACATACACAATAAAATGAAATAACTTTCATACCTGCTGAATTGCATAGAACAGTATGGTTATTTTTTACTTGTCTGATAAATCAAATAGAATTTGTTAACTTTGCATAGTGCAGTTACTCACAGCAAAATTTGAAAAGGGGTTTAATATCTGTTGACCTCGAAGTTACTCTGAAGTACTTGGGTGCTGCTGCAGATGTAAGATAGGAGCTGTATGGTGAGAACCATACAGTGGTTCTCTGCAGATTATTGTAATGCATAAATATGCAGCTAAATCATGGATAACATGCATGTATCTGAATGAGGGACTGTCAACTTTGTTGCTAGTATTTTTACTGAAGACAATACAGAATGTAATGATAGAAATACTGGTTGGCCAAGACAGACCTTAAGTGAAATTCCTGGTGCAACTTCTAAATTCTCATCTAACAAATTTTGGCATGTAAGTTAAAGACTGTGGCAAAGGGGGTAGAATACTCTGTTAGTTTGGAACTTTTAAAGTGCCTATCTATACAAATGAAAAGATGAATCAATTACAACTGAGCTGGGTACATAGGGAAATGTCCTGAGTTCCTGTGGATTAATTAAACTGTATTAATTTGTATTATTTACCCAGAGTTCCCTCTAGTCATCTGTTCTATGTGTACATAAAACGTATCTGGTTACTTCCCAGGCTTTGATGAAATTTATTTGATGAAGTAAGACCTTATATTCAACAGACATAAGCTAGTTTTGGTCATCATTTATAATGAGATTTTAGGGGAAGGAAATAATCTTGTTTTTAAAAATGAAACCTGACAGTTGAATTTGACTGAAAAGAATCAAAGTAAGAACTTGGAAAGAATTAAAATTCATCAGAGTATTGAACCATTTATTGCATTTCCATCACGTTCAACACTTCCCAGTGACACAGATCAGTATCTTCGTTATGGTTTGTTGTTAACACTTACCAGCTCAGACCCTGTGGTAACTGGTCTCACTGCTAGAACCTGTGTACCTTGGAGCCTTATCTGTAACTGTAAGCATTTATTTTATGTATTTTATTTATTCTTTGATTTTTCCACTATTCATGGTGTTTTTTCTAGTAACCAGCGTTAAAGGGTTTTTTCAGCATGCTGTGGTAGAATGGTAAGGAGATGGTAGCTGGTGTGTTCAAAACTTGTCTGTTAAGTTTGCTTTGTTTCCTGCAGGTCTCTTAACATGGACTTTGAGAATCAAGACAAAGAGAAAGACAGTAGCAGCACAGCTGGGTCTTTTAATGGCAACAGCACCAATAACAGTAAGGGTTAGCTTTACTCCTTATCTTTCTTGTGCACTTCAGTATGTTTCATTCTCTTTGGCCTCATCTGTGCATGTGTTTCAGCTCTGTGCGTTGTAGATTCACCTGATGGAATAGAGCTGTTTTGTCTGGGCACTTGCCATCTTGCCAAACACTAATACTGCTGTCTGGATCATGCCCATGGATTTAAAACATCAATGTAACATTTCCATAACGCATAAAAGTTGCATTCTGCACAACTGGTCAGGTTTTACTGGAAATGGAAATGACTTGACTTCAGAAAAACTCCACCACACAGTTGAGAAGGGAATGTTATTTCTTCTTGTCTGGAGTTTCTCATGATGACATATTAGCCTCTCCATAAGCAATGAGAGATCTCATCCTATGCTAAGAAATCCATAAGGATGATTCATCTTTGTCAATAAAGAAATTAAAGTATAGAGTTCACATAGCAACTCATTTATAATGGACAAGAACCCAGTCTGTTCAGAATGGGGTTTAATATGTCCACTGCTGTGTGGTGATTGTCCCCTCTAATCTATAAATATATTCCAGGCAGTTTGGCCATTTGAGATGCACTGTTTTGCAGGTAAAAATATGTATGTGAACAGTTACAGTGGAATGCAGTGCACACAATGTGCTGTAAATTCACACCTGAGTTTAACTTAGAGCAATTTATATGGCTGTATCCTGGCCATATGAATTTAGGCTCTAGAAAGATTTGTGCAAGTTTAGAAGACAGGAGTGAGATATGTGGGCAGCCCTGTTCAGGAAACCCTGAATGCTAAGGTTGCTTTGTTTAAAGTAAGAAATACAACTTTAAAAGTATAAATTAAATGACATATATTGCTTTTGGGAGGGGGCTTTTTTCTTTAATATAGGCTCTTGGAATTTACATAGTTGCTGGAGCACAGCTTCTCTTGGCAACGCAGAGTAGAGGTTGCTGTGCTTGGTGATTCAGCAATGAACACTTGAGGCTTTTGGCATCTGGGTAGTAAGAGAAGACAGGCTGGAGCTGGGGAATAAGCACATTAAAGGGATTAGCTGTCAAAATGATCAGAAATGAAATGAAGCACTTTGACATTTAACACTGCAGGCACTAATTCCCATATGCCAAGGTGGTTTGTAGTATGTCACTGCTGGGGGTTTGTTTTGTTTGTTTTTTTCCCTTGGGAAGTTGAAGGGCATGTGAATAAACACTGTTCTCAAAGCCGGAGGAACTAGATCTGAATCACAGATTAGAACACAGGAATTTTGCACTGTCATCGCTGGACTATCTATGTTGTACTTCATTTACCCTTTTGTACCAGACCTCAGTAACACTGAAACCCCAAGTGACTGAGTTCTGCTTTTTAGTTTTCAAATTTATTGTGCTATTTGTGTGTAGGACTGAGAGTGCCCGTGTCAGGGCTCTGTGCTCAGTGGTTAGATTTTCCTCTATGAAAAAGGTTAAATACTGAGGACAGGTACTAAGTTGTAGTGAGTGTATTTCGTGTGTTTGAGGGGTTTGAACGCAGATAGGTTGTTAGGTATGAGTTGTGTACGCAACCCATTATTTAGACAACTTGCCACTCTTACACAAAAAACCAAACTAGATGCATTCTGACACACAGGAACAATGTGTGTGCATATTTACGTGTATGTGCATGTCCGTATGTGTACGTGCATAACACTTGCACAGATATTCTGTTTGATAACCTAAAAGTTTGTCCTTAAAATCCTGGGACTGGTAAAACCCTGCTTCATGCAGCAGTGTCTGATTATTTTGGAATAGCCCAGTGATGTTCAGCGGGTTTTGGTCTCAGTCTTGTATTAATTTTTCATTAGAGACATTTTGGATGCTTCTCATCAAGCATCTGCTTCAGATGTAACCTGTTCTTTGAATGTGTGCCTTACATTTTTAACTGGGTTACTACTTATGGCTTCTTCCCCTCCCTCATGATCAAAGGTGAATACAGCTACAGAGGCCGGTTAACCATGAGAATCTGCAGGGATGGGTGGGCTTTTCAAAGCCCCATCTTCTCAGTTTTGTTAATTCTAAAACCTCATGGTAAAAGATAGTACAGATCTTCCTGTGCCCTAGTTAATCTCCCTCGTAGTCACACTGCATGGTTGAGGTGGGGGAAGTAATCACAATAAAACACTTCAGTATCTCTGCACTGTTTAGAATTGCTTCCAGCTATAAACCAACCAAAGATCATGCTCACATGTTATAACATACAGAGCAATGGCAGCACATGGTGAACTGAGCTGGTAGCTTCAAACCCAGGTAAATGACTTGGGTGTTCTTTGAAAACTGCCCTTCTTTGTTAGGGTTGATGTTATCTGGTGATTGAAATCAGTGATGCAATTTAAGCGCATGGTGGCCTTGACCCAAGTGGAATATGAAGCTGAGGCACCCTTTGCTTGAGCTGGGTCAGCCTTACACTGTCTGCAGCTCTGCTGTTGGTCAGGCTCTTTACCTTGTGCTGAAAGGTTTAAGCAAAACTTTCATATATCCTGTTCAACAGTGTAAAATGAAGCAAGTGTACAATTGATTTATTATTCCTAATCCCTAAATAACGTTAATTTTTGTAGCTTGCACCAGAGACAGAATGAATAACAAGAAAAAACTCATACATTTTCTATCAGCTTCTAGTTCTTGAGTCCTGCCAAGCAGAGCTGTTGCTGTGCACCCAGCCCGCGTGCCCATGTGGTGCAGCTGGAGTGTTTCTGCACAGACTGCTGGGCTCAGTTATGGCATTGCACAAAGATCTTGGAGTGAACGTCTCTATTGCAGCAGTGCTGAAATGGAATATACTGTCAGGGCCCCCAGGGGTGGTGGGGAGGGCAGGCTCTCAGTGTGTGTGTGGTTAAGGAACAGCCAAGTTAAATGTCGCTCTCTTTCCTTCTGCAGGTATTCAAACCATAGATTCTACCCAGGCATTGTTCCTGCCGATCGGAGCGTCTGTGTCTCTCCTAGTTATGTTCTTCTTCTTTGATTCAGTTCAAGTTGTCTTTACAATATGCACAGCAGGTGACTTAAGTTTTCTTCTCTTTATAAGAATTGGAATAGAGCAGAAAGCTCTGATTTAGTTAAATATTGTTGATGAGGGTTGTAATGCGTGACATTGGAACATTAAAAAAAAATCTAGTTTCACAGTTGTAGTTTCATGTCTCTGTGGCTATTAATAAAGTGACAAGTAGTATTTGAGAAGTATTTTCCACTTGGAGGTTTGCTAAGCCTCCTGAACTATAAATTGCCAGTGTTCTGAAAGATGCTGAATGTGTTATTTTATGTAAAGTTCACTTGTGCTTAGAACTGTAGTTAGAACTTAGAAATCAGTGCTTAGAACTGTACGTGCTGTTCTGTAATTCAGGTAATTTACATGATCACAGCATAACTCTGCAGATCCCATCCAGAGACTTCTTTTCCTAGTTTAATTTTGGGGTTTGCTTTGATACAGTTTTTCTTTGTACTTCTGGTCTCGCTAGTCCTTTGAGTATTGTAATTCTGCACTGCTTGAATTTAGAACAAAAATGAAGCTGCTGTCTGCAGGTAAATTACAGACCCACTGGTCCTGGTTAGTATTATTTACACTTTGTCATTTAAGTCAATTCCAGGACTTAGATTAAAAAAAACCCAAATAAATAAATTTGCCTTTTAATCCTTTTGCAGTTCTGAAAGCTGCTGCTCAGGGCAGCCAGGCTCTTGCCACTGCTCCGAATGTGCAGCAGCTTTTAGAAGTTGTACTCCTCAGTCCTCATACTGAGTCTATGAAGATTCGTAACCCCCTAAATACCTCTCATCCTCTCCTGCATCATGTACATGCAGTGCAGGCTTTGCCCTTGTGTTTTAACTCCCCAGCTATGCATCCTCTCCAGCCTCTTGATTGGGCCGATGTTGGTGGGTGAAATCTAAATCTCTGCTCTTGACATGAGTCTGGAGGCTCCTGCCCAGTTCTGGAAGCACAGTGCTGGAGAGGTCTGCTCAATAGTGCTTTTGTAACTTTGACCTGTGACATACGTGGTCTTTCCTATTAAAATTCAATTACTACTTCAGATAAAGTTTGCTATATGGTAGATATGAGGGGAATATAGTCACACAAATATATAAGATATAAGGGAAGATTAATGACAGAAGACCAGATTTGACTTGTCATGTTTATTGGTCCATTTATTTCCAGAATGACCTTGACATTTATAACTTTATTTGTGGTGTGTAATCATATGATCTTGTGTCGGTTGGGGCTTGTTGCAGCTTTAAGAGGGTTGAGTCTGTTTGGACCAGTGCACTTGGGTGTCTTTATTCTTTAACCTGAGTTTACCATGCTTTTGTGCTTTTCCTTGACCTTCATCAGAGTGTCATTTAGCTCAGGGGACTTAGGCCCCAGACTGAAATCAGAGCCTCCTTAGAAGTTACACAGCAGGATGCAGACCCTGCTGGAGCTGGGGATGTGGGAGCTGTGGGATTCAATCCCTCTGTCCCTTGAAGCTGACGTAGTGCTATTTTACATCCTCCTTTTGTAGACTGTAGAGGATAATGTGGGGAAATTCTGCATTATAGCTGATGACAGGTTCTTAAACCTTCATCCCACAAGGATTTGTCTCTCAGGAAGAGTCAGGAGCAAGGGCAGGCACAGCAGACAGCCCAGGGCTAGGACCAGCTGCTGAGCAGGGGGCAGAGATGAAGAGTTGGCTCATTGCCTACAGGCAGGAGCTAAGCCAAAGGATTGCCCATTGAATAATAGGTGTTGAGACTGGAGGGAAGAGAAACTTTCCATGGGAAGCCTGGACAGGCAGGAATGAGACTGAGAATGTATTAGTGTGATTACATTTTAATTCTTATACTCTGAATGAGGGGTGGCAGCGGCTGGGGATACCAGGACAGGAGATGCAGGGTTCCCTGCTGAGAGGAGCTGGAGGGGGAGGGAAGGGAGAGATTCCAAGGGCAAAAAGGGTTTTTCTGGGCTGATGAAGGGTCATTCCAGCCATGGTGGCACAAGGAGCAGGGCGGCAAGGCACAAGGACCTGGGCAGCAGGGTGCAGGCCTTGCTGGGCAGTGATCTTTGCAGGTGCCTCTGGAAAGGTTCCTAGTTCAGCATGTGCGGAGCTGCCACGCTCAGACTGTTCGTTCTTTCCCCACCCATTCTGCCTTGTTTCCTCCCCTCTGAGGGACTACTGAGGACTGGGGCTGGCACCGTGCTCTTTGCCTGCAGATGCTTTTTACAACTTTCTTTGTAAATGAATTTATTTATTCATTTATATTAATCTTTCTCCCACCAGAAGGGGCAGAATTGAGGGGTGGAAGTGTGTGGTTTGAGCACCCTGTTTCTTTTCTCCAGTCGGCTTATGCTGTGCACTAAAGAGAATGATTCCTTCCCACCCTCTTCATTTGACAAGAGGATAACAAAAAATGCCTTTTCAAACCCAACAGCAGCCACCCCAGTGTAAGGAGTGAGTAGAGGGCAGCACAGAGATTTGATTTGTAGCATGTTGAACAACTCCTTCATTTCCATCAGTTCTTACTGCAGCAGTTTTGGACGTGTGCTGCTGCCTTGTCTGTGTCTTCTGGCCCTCACTGTGCAGCCTGTTAAGCAGTCCTTAGTGCAAATTCAGTGCTAGGATATTTAAAAGAACTGGAAGGAAAAATGATTGTAAACACCAGCAGTTACTGAAGGTTTTCACAAGGGTGTGGATGGGACAAGTATGCTCCTTAAAAAGACAGCGTCAACGAGAACACTCTGGATGCATTCGGGTTTGGTTTGCCCGGCTTTCAGAAACGTACAGCGCTTTGTATTTATAAAAGTGAAGTGTCCAGCTGCTGGCTGTGATTTATTGTAAGTTCTGCTTGTTTCAGTAACAAAGAAAGGGGTCAGAGTGAGATGGGGGGGGGGGGGAAATGAGCTAAAAAGTAGAAAAGCCACGCGAGTTCTGCAGACTGTGTGCTATATTGAAGAATTATGCAAGAACCTCGCTGCCAGTTTGCAGTCAGTTGGGTTTTTGACTCAGAATATTTGAGAAGTGGTTTCCTTGCTGAGCTGCTCATGAATAGCTGCAAGACTTCGTTTTAGCTTTGTAAGGCTTGGGGATTGGCCACTGCATTCCTTTGAGAGCTTTTATTTTGACCGAAGTTTGAAAGCCTGCTAACAATAGAAGTTCTGCAGAAAACCTTGGAGCCGCTCTTGCCTTGATAATACTGCAGCACAGGATAATAGGGCGTTGTTGCAAGAGCTTTTTCAGACTGGAGGAGCTTGTTTGTGTACTGTGGAAGTTAGGTCTGAATGCACTAATATTACCTTGTCTTCTTTTTTCAGTCCTTGCAACAATAGCTTTTGCTTTCCTTCTGCTCCCGATGTGCCAGTACTTAACACGGCCTTGTTCACCTCAAAACAAGTAAGGACTTGAAAAACCTTTCGCTCCTCTTCTTGTTTGTTGTATTTACTTCTTTTAATGAGAATTCTTGAGTGGAGTCGTTGGTTCCGAGCACTGACCTCAGGCCTTTGGGGCTGATGTTTGTGCATACTTCCTGTGTGAACACCATGTTTCCACTTTGAAACTCGGAAGCACAATTCGTGCAAGTCCCCCCTGCTTGCCAGCCTGGGAAGTGTGCTCCCATTGCAGGGGACGTGATTTCCCAACAGTGGCTTTGAAGAAGTTTGGCTCCTTTTGTCTGAGATTTCAGTCTGGGATTTGGTGTGGGATTTTAATGCTTATTAACTTTGGGCCATGGATTTTAATGCTGGGTCTTCCAGAGGCTGGAGTTACACCAAAAATTACAGCTGTTAATGTCATGTTTTGAAACCCATTTCTTTTTTTAGCCTTGTGGCTGGAGTTCATGTTGCAGAAGGCACTATCTCAGATGGCACCAGGAAATAGCATACATGCTAACCATTTCAAGAGAGGTGCCAAGATTTGCAGGGGGGTTTTCCATCTCTGTAGTTCGGGCTTTACACACAGTAGTTGAACGTGAGGAAAGCTTTTATTTTGTTGCTGTTTTGGTACCTATTTGTGGCAGAGGAACTTCCCTTCAGTTGTTCTTGGCATCTTTCAGCAGCAGTTGAGCCTTGTTCCAGCAGGGTCCATTTGCTGTTCTTTAAATGGAAACATCAAATCTTCTAGCTAATGTTTGTGTGTTGTTCCTAGGATTTCCTTTGGCTGCTGCGGGCGTTTCACTGCTGCTGAGCTGCTCTCATTTTCTCTGTCTGTGATGCTTGTCCTTATCTGGGTCCTGACTGGCCACTGGCTCCTTATGGATGGTAAGTATGTGAATCAGGGGATTTCAGGACTGGCTTGTGCCTGTTCTGACACATCCCATCCCTGGCGATGCCTGCTGAAATGTGCACATGTTACTGGCTTGCTGAGCTGTGCTGTTGTGTGGGAGCCGCCGCTGTCAGGAACATGTGGTGTTTGGGACACCTGTTTTTCTGGTTTGTGAAAGCTTCCAAGGGAAGTGCCAGGACACCCATGAGAGGCATTGCACACCTGTGTGGTGCGGTAGCTAAAGGTGTGTGGAGGCAGTGGGGTTTGAGTCACAACTCGATCCTTTCAGTCGGGGTAATGTTTGCTGTGCATCTTCTTGTTGGTCGGCTCAGATGATCAAACAGTTTGTTGTGAGACAGTTCACAGTAGCTGCTTGTCTTTGATCTCTTTGATGCTTGGCACGGATGGGGAGGTGGGTGAAGCTGGCAGGCATCCAGTTGGCTTGAAGGTGTGATTTGTTCATTGCCATGCTGGGTGAACTGAATTCACAGCTTACTGTGCCGAAAAGGAGCTTTCCTCCTCCCCTCCTGCTTCCCGGAGCTCTTGTGCTAGCTCTGGCACTCACTTAATCACATGGTAAACTGATTCAGCTCACTAGAATGGCAGCGTACTCTTTTTTTGCCAGGCTATTTTGCTGCTGCTGCAGTAAGATGAATTGGATTATTGTGCAGGCAGGTATGTGCTAAATTTGGCTAAAGGTAAGTGGCAGCATGACAGGATCTAAGAGAATGAAGTGGATATGATTGCAAAGGGATGATGGGGAAGCCAGGAGCAGGACCTCTGCTTCTCAGCAGTGTCGGGCGCCTCAATTGGCATAGGACATCTCATGAAATGGCACCCTGTGGTTGTGATTGCTTGAGGAAAAATAGTTGGGACAGCATTACATGCCCTTGAAATCGTTTGCTGCAATAGAAAACGTACGTCCCATCGGCTCTCCAGCTCCCCCTGAATGAGGCAGCAGCAGGTCCTTAGCACTGAAACCTCTCACGGCACCTTGAATATGTCTTTTGTTTGAGAGCATTGTTTCATTTGTGCTTTTTGCTGCTCTGGAAGTTCCAGCTGTTGCACTCGAGGGAACGTGTTTCACCGTGCCCAGAGACTGAATGCAGAAGTGCAGGTCAAGTTTGGTTTGTGTGAAGCAGGGTAGCCCACCATGGAATCAGGAGTGCTTCTGGATCTGCAGGAGCTACAAAGCGCAGTGGAATGTCAGGCATGGGTTTTGGCAAAGTCTGAAAAGATTTGTCTGCAGCGAGGTACCAACTGAAGTGTTTCCTGAAAAACAGCTATTTCTGTGAGCGCTTCAGTCTGAAAGAGTGGGCTTGGAGGTAATCAGTCTGCACAGCACTGAGCTGCTGCTGCTGGGTGGTTTCTAGGGTTTACTCCTCTGTGTGGTTGTTTAGGATTTACTGAACTCTGGTGATACTGTCTGGCTTTGGTGCATTTTACGTAGCTTATATGAAGGGAGTTGAACTCTATAGGTAAGCCTCAGTTCATTTGTTCAAATCCAGCTGTATCAATGTTTGTCAATGGCACTGAGCAGGGAGCAGCATTTATTTGCCTTCACTAGGGAAACAGACTCTGCAGTTTTACTCCTGATACTGTACTGCTGCAAATGGGACTACGTCATCTCTGCCTTTACCCTTGCTTCTCTGTAACTGCAGCCTTGACAGCCCAGCTCATCTTGTTTGGAGGGCAGCACGGGCAGGCAGTGCTGCTCGCCGCTGTGTGCAGGGTGTGCTGCAGTCGGAGCTGTGTGGGGATCATCGGCTGTCTCAGAATGAACCAGATGTTGTGAGCAGGCCTCACGTCCCCTGGGCCAGTGGCTGAAGGGGGAAGCAGGGCAGGTGTCTCAAGTTTTGTGTCTGGTTTGCTGGTGTGCAGCTCGTTGTCTCCCTATGAGAGTATTTTTACTTTAGAGCTGAGAAACAAGGAGGGGAAGTGTTTCATGGTGATTTCTAGTCCTTACAGAATCGAGGTGTGGTGGTTACTGCCAGAGCTGTCTTCAGTGCTCAAACACTGCAGTTCCCTCCAGCGTGCAGTAGTTGGTTGAACTGCTTCTAAAGCTAGGGGTGTTGTACAGGATGGAAGGAGCAGATACTGTCTCCAGGGGGTTGTTCTGGTGTGTGATGATGCACATCTATAGGTCTTGAAGTGCCTGTGTCTCAGCGCAGATTGTTTGATGACAGTCATCAAGGGTGGTCCCTGTCCCTGAATAGAGGACACAGCTAGAGATGCACAGTGGGAATGTTGCAGATGTGCACAGTGAACTGAATGGTCATGGACACACTGGGAACTGCTGCAGGCCTTCACTGCTGCGGCCATCGCGCAGAGGCTGCTCCCTGACATGTGTTCTTATTCCCACCCTTTACAACACTCCGAGACTTTTAGAGGAACATGATTAGATCAGAACTTCACCTCTGTTATCAAAGGTCACCTGGTGGCCTGTGGGGGCAGCTTAGACCTTGGTAGCTTGCACAGTGCTTTGTAAACCAGCATCCTGGTGGTTTCATCTGTTCCTGTGTGTGAGAACATTCTTAACCCTCACAGCATCCTCATTCTGCAAGGAGCATGCTTGCAGGGACCCCGAGGTTCATTTGTTCTGTTGGCTGAGGGTTAACTCTTTCAGTTCTTGCTTGCTCAGCTTCATTATCCCATTGCCCAGGACGTTCTACCCAGAGCCATTTGTATGGCCATCTTACACCCCTTCACCACGCACACAAACTCTCCCCTCTTCTTCCTTTCTTTCTCCCCTCTCCCTTTTTCTCTCCTTCTTTCTCTCCCCACTTTCTTTCTCCCTTTTCACTCCTCATCTCTTTTCCTTTCTCTCCCCCCTTGCTTCTCTTTTTCTTTCTTAATGACTGGCACAACGTGTTGGGTGTAGATCTGCCTTATGCAGCGTGTCAGCACCATCCATGAGCCTGGGTACGGATGACTTTGTTTGCTGCCTGATTTGTGGGGTTTCTCATTGCAGAAGGAAGCTGGCTTCCATTTGAGAAGCCTGTCAGAGCTTTGCCTGCACTTTGGCCTGGTTCACTCGTGTTTGCTCTCAGGCATCCTTGCCTCCCTTCTGTGTTTAAATTTGCCAGTATTTCTTCAGGCAGTTGCAGAACTGCACAATTCTTGGTGTGTGTCTTTCACTGTCTCCTTTTCTGCCCAGTCTTTGCTTGGTTTGATGAAAGTGCCTTGCTTGTGTGCCCGTGTTCCTGTCAGTAATGGAGAAATCAATTGTGTGGGCAACAGATAAAACTCATGCTGGTTAAAATATTTCCACTTCTAGTTAATTATAACCTGGAAATCCTCTCCTAAATATAGGCCTGTTTGGGCTATTATTAACATGGGCTTTAGAGCCAGGCTGTTCCCTTGCATTTCTCCTCTGCCAGAGGAAGCTGGGGACTGAAGGCTGTATAGAATGAGTGCAGTTCTTTTTCTCTCTGCTTTGCTGTGTCAGATTCTTTAAACCTCGATAATTTGCTTACACTTCATAGCAAGTTGCAGTTGTGCAGCACGATCCAAGGCACGCTTTTCTCAGAGTAATCCCATTACTGTGCTCAGACTGGCCGCCGTGACGCTCCGTGGTGTGCTGAGCTTATCAGCTCCCAGAAGATAAGGTGGGTTTGGCAGAGCCGGTGCTGGGCTGCAGTCCCTGGGCACTGCGAGCAGCCACGCTGGCAGGCCTGCGGTGCCACCACAGGGATGTGTTTTGGTAGTGGTTTGGTGGAGGAGCTGCATGGTGAAAGGCAGGTGTGAGGTGGTTTCGCAGTGCAGCATTACAGCACCAGAGGCCAAAGGTTAACAAATAGCATAGCAAATCTGGTCACACTGTCGCACTGGTGGGCACACAGGGAGTGATCCATCTTCCCTGGATTCACTGATTTCAGGTGGTTAGAACGGGTTTGTGACTGTTTATAATTGTGTGATGTTAGGCAAATATTGACATAGTGTACACAGGAAAAATACATTTACGTTTACAAATGTCTGTATAGTTAAGCGTGCTGGGGTCCCAACAGGGCTCCATTATTCCTTGTGAATGTCCTGGTACCATAGATTGATTTACTTCAAGTATCCCTTCAGGGATTCACTTGTATCCAGTTGAAGTACATTTGAATGTCAGTGGGGTACCATTGGTAGCTAAGGCCAGGCCTAAAGCAGGAGGAAATCACACAAATGTGAAGACTGGGATTGCCTTTGGTTTTTTAGTGTAATACCAGCTTTCTGCCCTGACAGAATTCCTCTTGGAACAGATCTAACGTGAGCCGTGGCATGCTGTTGAGCTTGTTGATGTGGCTGAAAACTCATCTCTGGGAGAGGGGTTAGGAAAAGACTTGCCCGTATTTTTTCCCCATTGGTAGGCAGGCTTCCATGTGGATTTTTGTTATTGGGAAAGCCCTGCCTATCCAAACAGTGACATTTCATTGCTGGTGTTGGGCAGCCGCCCACAGTCTTGCCCAAGCAGAGGAGGCCACCGAGCTGCTGCGAGGGCTGGAGCAGCTCTGCTCTGGAGCCAGGTTGAGAGCTGGGCTGGAGAAGCCTGGGGAGACCTTCAGGCAGCTCCCAGTGCCTAAAGGGGGCACAAGAAAGCTGGAGAGGGAGTTCTTACAAGGGCATGTAGTGACAGGGCAGGGGGGGAATGGCTTTAAACTGAAAGAGGGAGATTTAGGTTAGGTATTAGGGTGAAGTTCTTACCTGTGAGGATGGTGATATTTAAGGTTCTTCCCAACCCAAGTGACGACTCTATGATTACGATTGGCTTGAGTGGACTTCGTCACACCATGTTCTAATGTGTCATGTACCCGTCACACCATGTTCTAACACGGCGTGTACCCATCACACCATGTTCTAACATGGTATGTACCTGTCACACCATGTTCTAACACGGCATGTACCCATCACACCATGTTCTAATGTGTCATGTACCCGTCACACCATGTTCTAACATGGTATGTACCCATCACACCATGTTCTAACACAGCATGTACCCATCACACCATGTTCTAACACAGCATGTACCCATCACACCATGTTCTAATGTGTCATGTACCCGTCACACCATGTTCTAACATGGTGTGTACCCATCACACCATGGTGTAACACGTCATGTACCTGTCACACCATGGTCTAACACATCGTGTACCCGTCACACCATGTTCTAACACGTCATGTACCCATCACACCATGGTCTAACACGGCATGTACCCGTCACACCATGGTCTAACATGGCATGTACCTGGGCTGTTTCTGAATTCAGATTTTATTTATCAAGGATTTATTGTATGCATTTGCTAGAAAGCCTCTGAATAGTGTAAAAGGAGATGTTTGTGTGTGGGGCACAGGGAGCTCCAAGTTGCTTTGCTGCTGTGTTTTTAACTGGGTAGCCAGTGATGGAGTCCCTAGGCCACAAGGCATGAGAATGTTTCCTAGTGGTGGGCAGCAGCAGGTGAGTGGTGTGGGCAGCAGCAGGTGAGTGGTGTGGGCAGCTGTGCCTGCAGAGGGATTCCTGCTTCCATGGGGCAGGCTCACAGCTGGCTCCTGGGTGTATTTTGGCTGTTGTTAACTCTGAGTTTCAGTACCTGGGAGCAGCAGACAGCCCCCTTGTGCATGCAGAGCTGCACAGGTGCCACAGAGGCTGCTTTGGGGGATGTTTTGTGGGGGAGGTATTGGCTTGGGGATGTTTGTTCTGTTTTGCTCTTTTTTAATGAACTAATTCTGTGCTTGCATTTGTAGCTCTGGCTATGGGCCTGTGTGTTGCAATGATAGCCTTTGTTCGGCTGCCCAGCCTGAAGGTTTCCTGCTTGCTACTCTCGGGGTTACTAATTTATGATGTCTTTTGGGTAAGTGTTTTGTTTGGTTTTGCTAAAACTGTTTTTATCCTTTGGATCTGTACTTGGCTGTGGGCCACTTGTACATGAACTGTACTAGTATGGAGTTGATGAAGCCTGGCAAAGCCAGAAGATCAGCTTCTTTGCTCCGTTCTGAGTCGTTCAGGTCTGCAGCAGGATACAGAATGATGTCCTCACTAATTACTGACAAAAGCAGGACCACGATGAGAAGGTTTCAACTTGGGCAATTCAGTTGATTAAAAAGATAAACTGGACCTCAGCTTGGGAAGGCCTGGCTGCAGATCAGCACGGGCATTCCCAAGTGAACACAAAGCCTCACCCACACTTGCACGGTGTGAACGTGCCAACTGCTGATCAGCAGGGAAAGCCACAGAACAGGAACGCAGCTGATTCATAGCCAGGGAGCTTGGCAGAGAATCTCACTGCACTTCTCAAGAAACCTGCCAGAACAGATTTTGTGACACTGGAAGGATTTTGTGTTACCTTTGCCTAATACCAAGCACTGACCCAGGGAGGTGCTTGCGTGTAGCCAGCCAGTTTCCCAGTGCAGTGAGCTGTAGAGTAAGGGCCTGACGGAAACAAGTGTTGCATCATTCTGTGTCTGAGGGAGCATCGACTGCACTTACCTCTTCTCTGCTTTCAGGCTTTGTCATCTCATCAGTATCCTGCTACCTGCCTTTGTAGCCCTGGACTACCTGCTTGTAGTCTGGATACATCCTTTGCCAAAGGATCTCAAGATACTGATCAATATCTTGATATCAGAAAGTATATTGCAGTTATTGTTGAGGATTAATGGTGTAAAAAAAAGTTATGAGCTTTTTAAATACATAATCCTTTTATTATCACATATACAGTGTATGTATATGGAAAATCTGGACAACATCCTTCCTTTTCTTGACCAAGCAAAGCAAAACAATGCGCAGCTTTCAGTGGCTGTGATTGTGGTGTGTAATGTCTGACCATTCCCTTGCTCCGCAGGTCTTTTTTTCTGCCTACATCTTTAACAGCAACGTGATGGTGAAAGTGGCCACACAACCAGCTGATAATCCCCTGGATGTTTTATCCCGGAAGCTTCACCTGGGACCAAATGTGGGTAGAGATGTTCCCCGTCTGTCCCTGCCTGGTAAACTTGTATTCCCAAGGTAAAATCAGCAGTTCTTTTACTGTATTATCTAAGAAAAGTTTCCCTTCCCTGTACTCCATAGTGGTGCCGATTCTATTGGAAAACACCAGTTCAGTTCCCTATTCAGTCACTCCATGATAAAAAGGTATAGAATGAATAGTGAGGGCTGGACACCTTCATGTGCTGACTCACAGCATGCAGCCGTGATCCTCATTAGGTTAAAAAGTGGGCTGTTCAGAACAGGATGCACTGTTTGATGTATGCGTGAGTTCTGCAGACCCAAGGTTTGCTGCAACATCGGAATAGTCCTGATCACTGCATAACTGCAGGTGATGAGGAGGGCAGTTAGAGGCTGTTCTACGCAGGGACAGCTTTACTGGGTAGGTTTGTGTTGGAGGGAGATCATTCCCCATCTCTCTTCCACAGGGGTTCTGTGCTAGCTGGGGTTTTCAATCAGATGTGCCTGGGCCCTATGGGCAGTAAGCAGGCTCCAGTGCATCAGCAGTTACACATAGGTCATGTTGGGACATTTACTCTTGTTCCTTTAGATGTTGGGTGCTGGAATCACAGACACCAGGAGTTGATTCTCTGCAGTGAGGAAACCAAAATTATTCTTTTTGTCAACCCTGTGGTAACTTAATCTGGCTTCGTTTTCATGAAAAATGGGCAATTTTAGTTCTTAATCTACTTAACAATTGGCTCTTTTGAGGGAATCTCATGAGAGTGTAGTTTCCTGTGTGTTTTATCTGAATGAGGCTGAAGATCTCAGAATTCCATAAATTGACTTACTGCCTTGTACCAGAGGTGATCTGCGTGCACAGGAATGAAGGTGCAGCATGTGTCAGTACTATACAGCATGGTAAAATGGTCAGCAATGCTTGAGGTGAATGAAACACTGAGTTGATGGATCTGTTTCATTGAGTGACTTAAGAGCAGCTTAAGCATTGCTGGTAGAAATAAACTGGTTTGGAGCAGCATGTCATTACTATCAGAATGAGTATGATTAAAACTGTGCTGAGGTGGTGGCAACATCACCAATGAAAAGATCTTCGGTAGCCAGCATTTAGTGTCTACTACACAGCAGTTTGCCAGTAGGAAGAAGGGATGTGCAAGATGAACATCCACATCTGCCCATGGCAGGGGGGCTGGAACTGGATGATCTTAAGGTCCTTTCCAACCCTAACTGTTCTATGATTCTATGAAGCTCAGAACCAATGTGGAGGAGTCTAGAGCTTGTCCCCTCGTGTTCTGGACATGAACCCACGTTCAGTTGCTGTCTAGTTCCACAGGCAGCCACTTCTCCATGCTGGGGATCGGAGATATTGTGATGCCAGGTCTTCTGCTCTGCTTTGTCCTGCGTTACGATAACTACAAGAAGCAAGCCAACAGCGATTCCTGTGGTGCCCCAGGACCAGGGAACATCTCTGGCCGTATGCAGAAGGTCTCTTACTTCCACTGCACACTTATTGGCTATTTTGTAGGTGAGTACTTGGGTTAATGTGGGTAGCTGCTTAGTGAGCAGGAAGTGGGGTTATTGTAGTAGGTTTAAAAGGTGATGAAAGCAAGCGTAAAGAGGCTTTGAGGGAACACTTGGCTGTGTTCTTTTTCAATCCTCCTTTGAGCTTGATTGGCGTGCTCTGGGGAGAAAACCCCTTCTACAGTCTTATGGGGTTTGCTGGATTTTATTTAGAGAGGGAAAGAGATTATCAGAGTATTCTTGAGGCTTCGCTTTACGAGCACAGAAGGTGCCATAGCTCGTACCCAGGCTATGGGAACAATATAGGAGTTTCTGGATGGATTATGCTGTGCAGGGGTACATCCAGGTAATTCCTGCATTTTTGTGTTTTAGGGCTAATGTTTATGATCCTGTGATGGTTTAGTGCATACAGACAACTGTAAATAATCACAACTTGGATTCTGCTTGTGATTTGCTGTAGCCATCCCTCTCCTCCCTAACATAAGATGGGTTTTTCCCTATGGTCAGGACGTGTGTGCATATCCTGACCTCCCGCAGCCCTTGCAAGGAAGAAGAGGAAAGATTATTTCCTACCAGTTGCCTTCCTCCTCCCCCTCCTCATCTTTCTCCCTGCATTTTGACAAGTATCCAGGAAAATAATTCCTGGTGTATCCAGCCCTTCCTCTCAGGAGAGGGGCATCAGACTGATGGTCTCAAGAGGTAGCGTGGTGCCTTCACCTTCCTCCCCTTTGCCTTTTGCTGCATCTTGTTCAAGTTATTCGTAGCTTGATCTCTGAGATGCAGAACTGGAGCAAGTGGCTCAACACAAGTTAATGGTAAAACAGAGTAACTCCCGTTTGGTTTGTTTGAGGTGTATTCAGGGAAGATGAAGCACAGGGAAGTAACTTTTCCACAGGCTCTCTGTGGAAATGGCAGGAAGGGAGCCACGGGTGGATGGGCTGGTGAGAACATCCCTGTGTAACCCACACAAACACAGCCCCTTTTCTCTATTACAGGTCTACTAACGGCAACAGTAGCTTCTCGCATTCACCGGGCAGCCCAGCCTGCCCTCCTCTATTTGGTACCTTTCACTTTATTGCCGCTCCTCACCATGGCCTATTTAAAGGTAAGACAGGATTAGGCACTTGCAGCGGGAAGCTCTGGGGGCAGCTGGCAGCAGGTTCCGTGTTCTTGCACGTGGCAGCGGCTCCCATGGGGGTGATGTGTGTCCTTAACAGCCCTGGCGCAGACCTCAGGTCCCACCGCTGCTGGGGTGAATCTTTGTTTTGGAGCACTGAGGAGTTGAGGGACGAGCTCCTGAACTAGGAGATGATTTATGTAGATAAAGTAGCAGTAATTACAGGCTATGGTAATAGTAATTATAGACTATACTGTGAAGGAGGAAGTGCTGTTTTAATTAAATAAGTGAATTTGTCCTTGCCTGGCTGGTCAGGAGAGAGCACACGCACAAAGGTCCGGTAGAGATGAGAGGCAGAGCCTCCTTTACCTCTTTCCAGTTGCTTGTTCAGAGCTGGAATTTTAACATGGAGCCTTTCCTGTCCCAGGGCAGTTGCTGAAACACAGCAAATGCACTGCAGAGCACAGGAAAGGGCAGAGTTTTACACCTGCATAAGTATTTCCTTCCCGTCAGAAACCCATTTTGGGTAGACCTGGCACCAAAATGAGACAAATGGCCTGACAGGGAAGGGGGTTGATGTTTTTCCTGTCTTTGTTGTAACTTGCAAACCAGGTGAAGCACGGATCTGCCTTAAGACACACCTGTGATAATATGCATTTAAAAATATGACTTCTCAGTGGATGTCAGTGTTTCTGAGGGCATGGTCCTTCTGCTGTTTTCCTGCCCAGGGTGATCTACGTCGCATGTGGTCTGAGCCTTTCCACTCCAAGTCCAGCAGCTCCCGCTTCCTGGAAGTATGATGGAACGGATAGGAAGTGACCTGAACTTCTGCCTTGGTCCTTTTCACTTTAACTCATGGCTTTGTAGTCTCCTGAAGCTGGACTGGCTGGTGCTTGGGAAGGTACCACTGACGGGACTTGTATGAAAGGACTTTGCATTAAAAGGAGGAAAAGTAAAAAGCAAAGATCCTGGAGCTCTGTGCGGCTCCATTGTCTCCCTGCAGCTGTGGACCTGGGGACCCTTTGTGCAACTGCAGCCACTTTCCTCTTTTCCTCACTCGGATGGATTAGTACCAGACTATTACCTTTGTGAGAGAGGAAGAGACAGACTTGAAACTGAAAACGGCTTGAAGTCGTTCAAAAACTTGTGAACACTAAAAGAAACCACAGTGAAGCAACTGAAGCTTCTCCAGAGAACCCCTCGTGGACACTGGGACCAGTTTCCTGCTGGACTTTGGGTTTGAAAAGAACTGCGACAGAAACTCTTCTGTCACCATACTGGGTTTTTTTGATCTATTAAATATTTCCTGTGGTGTGAGGTTACTTATTAAATCCACAGACATGGAGTGACTTCTTGCAGTATACATATAAAACTTTGTTGTAACAAGTTACATTTCCACCCAGATGTCATGTTTGCAGTGAAAAAGGGCACGATTTTTATACATATATATATACACACATATAGATATATATATGAATAAATAAAAAGGAAAACCTGCTAAGATCATGCTATGTAGCAGACAGGGGCTTGCTGTAATTTTTAGCATGTAGAGCAGTTTACTCTGGCTTTCTTGTCTATGGATCTCCGATGAGCTGCTGTTCCCCCCTCCCTACAACTGAACCTGCAGTTCCAAACCCAGTGTAGTGTTTGTACCGGTTGTACTCATGGACTCCAGGGGATATTTGATTTTGATCAATGTAGCAAACCAGGGAAGCGAAACTTTCAAACCCAGCCCTGTTGGGGGGGGGGGGGGTGGTTTTTTCCTTTTGTTTTCTTTTTCCATGTTTCTGTTTCTGCCACCGACCCCGTGCAGGTTTTTGGTAGCTTCCTCCTGCCCCGGTGCATGTATTATAGCAGCAGTCGTCTTTGTGCTTTCTCATCCTAGTGATGTATCACTTGTAAATACATCTTTTCTATTTTCTAGTTCTTTGTATTTGCATTTTGTTTCAGTCGTGCTGTACCCGCCCTGCCCCGAAACACCAAAAAAAAAAAGGAAAAAAAACCCAAAAAAGACAAAGCAAACTGTCCTTTACTGGTGTGCCTGGTGGAGTTTGTGTGCTGGCTGCTCTGTGCCTGCAGCCTGCTCAAGTGTGGAGGCTTTCATGGTGGTTTTTAACCCAGCCGCTCCAGCTCTGCTGTGTCAGACCGAAGGCCTTCCCTCAGGTAACCACAACCTTTTTCCTTTACAACACTCTGGTGGCTGGGGTTTGGGGAGCTCCCCTGGAAGCTCAGAGCTGCTCTTAGTTTGATAGATGCTGGTAACCATGAGCGGAATGGAAGGAAACCAGGAGTGTTTTAAGTGTGACTGTGATCCAGCAGTGAGCTGGGGTCTGGTTCTGTTACCTCCAGTGAGACGTGTGCTCCTTTCTGCTCTCTGCAGCTCTGGGAAGAGCCCGTTTAGCACAGTAGGAATCCCCTGTTCTCAGGCACGGGCAGATGGGCTTGGAGCTGGTGGAAGGGACCTCTGAGACACCTGCAACATCTAAAGGAACAGAAAATAGGAGCAGAGCCCTTTGTGGGGGGCTCTGAGGGTGGCAGGGAGGATGGGGTCACTTCATTTATAATAATGGCCTTTTCCAGATTCACACCTTTCCCTGAGCTGGAAGCACTTCCTGTAGCGCCGCAGTGCTCATCCTCAGGTGACTGACCCTTCTTTAGGAAGCAAACAGCTTTTCATTAAAACTCTGCTTTTTCTGCCCATAGCGAGCGTTAGGACCGGAGCTGCAGCCAGCCTGGGATGAAAGAAAGGCATCAGTTCTCAGCTGCACACCTCGGGCTTAAGGGGAATAAAACACTGAGGAGGGCATTCAGAGAAATAAGTAAAACACTTTCCTGGATTTCCCTCCTCCCCCTCCCCTGAGGTTCCAAGTACTGGAATAACACCTTTAGATCCAGTTTGCTACTGCTCTATCTTCCCAGCCTTTGCCCCTGTCCCATAGTACTGCACACCACAGGTACTTTCAGCTTCAAGGCAGTTCCGTCCTGCCTTTGGAATGAACATAAAAGGTCTTGCTCTATTTTGCAGGGGCATTTTTTAGTCCCTGCCATGAAAATACCTATGAATGATTTTCTGCACTTAAAACCCATGCTGGGAACCGTTCTAGAAGTGCTGATAGACAAGTATTTAATAAAAATTAATTCCTGAGGATTGATCAGAAAAACCTTGGCCTTTCTTTTAGGCTGTACTGTCCTGCAGTGACCTTCTGACATGCACCGAGGTCAGACACCGAGGTGCTCTGCAGAGGTCAACCAAAGCGTAACTATTCTAAATACAAACACATCCACACAGGGAGAAGCATTATGCCATGGCTCCTGAGCCAGTCAGAGCTTTGTCCCACAGCTCTCCTGTCTAGAATCACACAGGGCAGGGGGATTAGAGATTCCTACCTCAGCTGCTGGGCCCTCTCTGCGCAGGTGCACTTTGTCCTTGTTTCTCCAGTCCGGCCAAAGCTGCATCTTCCCAGCTTGAGGATGGAACTGCAGAGGCTGCTTTGTGTCCTTTGGGCTGTGGAGGCCAGGTGGGACCATGGGCTCCCTGTCAGCTCTGTACCTGCCTCCTTGGTCTAACATTCCACTGAACTCTGTAACAAACTGCCTGGCCCAGTCCTGCAGTGAGCCTGTACCTGCCCTTCCTCTGGACAGTTATCAGAGCAAATAGTTAATAACTGTTTGACCAACATCAGCCTTCTCGTAGGAAGGGAGGACACTGGCAAGAAGGTGATAGACCAGAGTGTGTTCACAGTGAAGGTGCCAGGACGCAGACTGGAAGTGGGATACACAAACCTGTCACAGTTCTGGAGCTGGTTTTCCTGCTGCATCTTTGGGAACAGCTTAGAGATTTTACTGTTGGTAGTTTGAAACTTCCCTAAGGCCACACTACATCGTGCAAAAATGAGTTCAGAAATTACCTGGGATTGTCTGTCCAACCACTCTGTGTGAAGGGTACTGGAAATCCAAGCTGCTTGTTGCATTTTGTACCCTGCTCAAACCTGGAATGCTGAGACTGTGCTTCTGTGTGGTTCTCCCTCTCTTCCTCCCCCCCCTCAAATGACCTGGAACAGCAAGGTGAGCCCTGTCCTGCCGTGCTCTGAGGAAGGCAGATGCTTCAGAAGGGGATCCAGACTCCGTGTTCTTGGTGGGGGCCAGGCCAAGGATGTGGCTCACATCTGTGCTCCCCAGGAAGAGTGTGTGTGTATTTAATGTCTCACCTGTATTTAACTGTGACCACCCAGACCAGCTGCTCTATTCCTTTAGTCTGTTGGGAACTCACATGAGGAGACTGGGAGCTTCATATGTGATACAAAATACATCAAATTTAAGGTGGGTGAGGGGAGTAACTCCTCACTGCTGTGTTGTTCCTAAGAAAGGATTCCAGTTAGGGATCTCCCTGCTGCCTTCTGTCTCATAACCAGCTTCATGTGGGGCAAACCCCACAATGTCCCTGAAAAGCCTGGCTGTGGCTCACCTCCTGCCCCTCCTCTTTCTCATTTAGGCATGATCTGATTCTCCCATCTGGGTGCCCCAGCGCTGCAGTGCTGGCTCCACCTGTAACCAGAGCCCTACCCACGCCCAGCCGGGTTAGTGCTGTCTGGGGGTGGCTCGCAGCAAGAGCTCCCTGTTTAATGCTGCAAAACTTGTTTGTGTTTTGCACTTTCAGCAGTTCTCTTCTGGAACAGCCCTGAGGAGCCACATGCACCGCACGCAGCCTGCGGTCACAGCAGCAGGGCTCCCCAGGAACACTCCTTTACGAGGTGCTGCTCCCCATACTCCCTGCAGAAGGTCCACAAGGGATTTGGTGAATCTAGGCTGTAGGGTCTTCAGGTGTGTCCTGTCAGCCATGTGGGGTCCCTGCAGGTGAGCACTGAACAGTAACTGTGCTCCTCAAGTCCTCCCTTGCTTGCAGCAAGCAGCCCCTACAGCTCCCGTTCCTGCTGAGTGGCTGCAAGGAGAGGTAAGTGTAAAACAGCATCACTTCCTCCTACACAATCACAGAAACAAGCCATCAGCACTCATCAAAGTGGTGATAAGGGCTGGAATCAGGACAGCTCTGAAACATCTCACTCCTAGAAGCCCTCCATAATTTCCAGTACATTCAGAGACATTGGAATGGTTTTCCAGCAGAAATACTCCTGTCAAATGCACTGCCTGGCTCTGTTCCTGTTCCTCCTTAGGTTTGTGAGAGCACCGCAGGCAAATGCAAGACCTGAAGACTGCCCCAACATGCAGTTGCCCTCTAGCGACCCGCAAAGGTATTTATGTTGCTGGGACGTCTGCCCTAGTGAACGCCTGCTGCATCGAGCTGGTGCATGAAGGTCCTGGTGGGTTATGCTCCTGTGCCTTGTGACTGGAAGAAAATACTACAAATGGATTCACATTAACATAAAAAAGAGAGGGTGGGGACCGGTGGTCCTTTAAAACCGGGTTTTATTTGTCTTCTCTTATGTGCAATTGAATCCTGCTGGTTTTCTGTCCACACAAATCTAAATAAAGGCACCATAGGAAAATAACCATTTACCTCTTCTGTGCTCGTTGTTTGGACAAGGAGGCAGACTGCACAGGCTCTTGTCTTAGTCCTTTCCATCTTTTCCTGAGTTCAGAGCTGAGCTTTTGGCTGATGAATCTTCTGAAAGTTAACATCTTGCCAAAGATAGCTGATTGAGGATATGTGCTACTGCTAAAGCTTCCTGGTAAGGTTTTGTGTGTCATCTCTTCTTTTCCTCCTTGTTGCCCAACACATGTAGAGATAAAAGGCTGTTACTGTAGTTCACACTCTTTCTTTCCTGTTGGGAGTAGTTGTTACAGTAAAAGCAGCTTTGGGAACAGAGGGGTTTTACTGTTTGATGGTTTTTAACCAGTCCTGGGCACTGCAGCTTTTCTGTCCTCAGCTTTTACCCCTCCATCCGTAAGTGGCTGAGAGAACAGGCTGCAGGGCTCCACTGGCCGGGATGGAGGGGTTTTACTGATCTGTTTTTACACATACAGGCAGCACGCACAGCCCACAGAGAGGTAGGACCTGTGTGCTCCCATCTGCCTCCTCCCATGCTGCAAGTGGGGAAAAGCTCTGCCACAACCATCACCTCAGCACAGCCCCTCTCACACATGATACCCATTGAAGCCTGATCAGCGTGGCCCACAGCCGGGAACAGGCACAGGGGTCAGGTCTCTCACTGTCTCTAACTTTGGCACTGGTTATCCAGCACCACATAATGACCAATTTCTGCCAATTTGTTCCCAGGCCACGGCTGGGCAGCACACAAGGACAGCTGCTGACTCTACTGAACAGTAAGGTCGTTTTGCTGCTACCAAGCCAAAACACTCCAGTTTAGGAAAAGACCTATGCTCCGCTACAGGACCAGGCTGCCTCCTCCCTCCTGCACTCACAGCCATCACTTACAAGCCTAGATACGGCTTTCCACGCACCACACGTTGTCCAAAGAATCAGCACATTTTAACAAGAGGGTCAGTTACTCATTGGTGAGGAAAACTTCCATCCTGAGCCTCAGTCAAGAGGGCCAAGACTCAATCCCTGTTGTGCACTATTATGAGGCACTCTGGGGCAGTGTCCTGTTCGAGTTGGCTTCTTCAGCCACGATAGGCCTTCAGCAATTGACCTGCTATCACCAGCCTTTGGATCTCACTGGTCCCCTCGTAGATCTCTGTGATACGAGCGTCGCGGTAATGGCGTTCTGCTGGCATCTCTGTCACGTAGCCCATCCCACCCAAGATCTGGATGGCCTAAAACAAAGGCAGCGGCTTAGAAAAGAAGCAGAGTCAAGGAATGTGTTTGCTGCACAACACAGACACCTTAAAGGCAGCTAAGCCCATTACAAGTGTAACTGGGGCAAGGAGGGAGAACACATGGGGTTGACTGCAGCCTATTTGCAATTGGAGGAATAAACAGAATTTGAGCTGGGTAAGAGCAG